GCAATAGAGAGACAGGACGTTAGGCTTATTAACTGTTGATGATGACATGTATAGTATTCTCAACTGGATTGGTCTGAGAAGTATTTCATGATGGGCAAAGTATTTTTACAAGAAAAATGAGAAATAGTGATGGACTGTTTTTAAAAAATAATAATAATAATAATAATAATGATTGGGGAAAACATAGAAAAGATATAGAATGTTGAAGCAGGGAGATTAATGTCTTTGTACTGACTGACTTGCATGGCATTCCCTTTTGAAAAAGCAATGTAATACACTGTAAAGTTATATGTAATCCAATGTAATATAAAGAAGATTATGATGATAATAAAAAATAAAAAATAAAAAACATACCAGCCACGTGCATGCATATACCTAAAAATTCCAAGAGGAGAATGAAAGAGAGGGTATTATGGTGTGGCTATTCCCCCTGGGGGATGATTTCTCACTTTCCCTCTCTGTCTGGTAAGCACACACACCCTATAGCAACTCCACCCAAGAAAATTAATAAATAAACATAAATAAGCTGATTTTAAAGTAGAGAAGGGCCCAGCAGTGGTAATGTAACACTCTATAATGCTAGACTCACATGAGAAAGTTGTGGGTTTACATCTCAAGGTCTCTATGTACACATTAGACATGCATGCTTGAGCCTATGATCTAGGCTGGCTGAAGCTGGGGATGGATCGTGGCATGAAGACTCTATAAGGGATGCCTGCCTCTCTTTCTCTTTCTCTCACTTTCGGTGGAAAAAATAAACTTAAAAATAAATAAGAATAAGGAAGAGACCTGCACAGACACCTCACCAGAGCAGATATGCAGATGACAACTGAGAAGATAAAAAGAGGGGCCAGGAGGTGGCATAGGGGTTAAGGAGCTTGACTCCCACATGGCTGATCACAATTCAAGTTTCACACTCAGTGGCTTGAAACTAACACCAGGCACATGTATATGTGTGCCCAAAATCCCAAGATGAGAATGGAGGAGAAGGAATTGTGGCGTGGCCATATCCCCTGGGGGGTGATTTCTCACTTTTCTGTCTCTCTGGTGAGTGCATGTGCCTGATAGCAAAAATTACTCAAGTAAAAAGAAAAAGAATACAAAAAGATGCTCAACATCATATGTTATTAGGTAACTGCAAATCAAAACAATAATATACCACTACAGACCTTTCAGAATGGCCAAACTTCAGAACACTGATGATACCCAAATTCTGGTGAAGATAGGGAGCAACAGAAACTGTCATTTATTGATAGTGGGAATTAAAACTTGTATGGCTACTTTGGAAGACAGCTTGGTATGTCTTTAAAAATTAAAAATATTCTTACTATATGATTCAGCAAAAGTATACCTTAGTATTTATATGAATGAATTTTTATACTTAACATCCACACAACAATCTACACATGAACTATAATAACAGCTCTGTTAATAATTTCCAAAACTCAGAAGTAACCAAGATGCCTTTCAATAGGTAAATGGATTAGTCAGTATATCTTATAATGAAATATCATTTAAAGGTAAGAAAGAATAAGCTTTAATGTTTAAAGTAATGAGATATAAAGCCATAAAAAGATATGGAGGAGCCTTAAATAACTTCTTCTAAGTCAAAAAAGGCAATCTGATATAGTTACACACTTTATGATTCCAACTATATGCCATTCTGGGAAAAGCAAACCACAGTTACAAAAAAAAGATAAATGTTTGTCAGGGTTACAGGAAAAGAAAAAGGGAGGAATAAATAGGTTGAATAGGGGATATGTAGGACCATCAAACTATTCTGTATGATACAGTTTTAGTAGATACATGTCATTATACATTTGTCAAACACATAGAATGTGTAACACAAAGGTGAACTGTAATGTAAATGATGCACTTTAGTTAATAATACTGTATAAATAATGGCTCAATTGTGACAAACGTACCATACTTGCAAGATATTAACAACGGGAAAGATGGCTAACTAGAGGTACTCAGCACTCATCTCTTACACAAAGAAGGAACAAACAGATGCGGTTCTAGTAGAGTATCTGAAAGAGTGCTGGAATTCAGCGAGAAAATTATTGAAGCACTCTAAAGCATGACAGCTCAGGATGACAGCAAATAGGGGAAGAAAAGGACCTGTCTGGGATCAGCCTAGAGTTGGGAGAGACTTCTCATTGCTGGGAAATAATAAGTGAGAGATCTTTAGCAGTTTTTCTTATCACCATGGACAGACAGTAGTTCTAATTGTGGGAGAGCTTTACAGGTTCCATAGGACCTGAGCCCAGTGTAAGCAGTTTCCTGAAATCCATGAGGCTGCATGACACTCGGAAAGAAACACAGGCAGGGTCAACCTTATCTGCTAATCTCTGAACTGCTACATCATGGTGCCATTTTAAGAGCAGAGCCACTGTGGAATTGAAGCCTATCCTGAGGGTCAATAACCTCTGTATCTCCATATTCCTGAGGCCCCACTGACATTCTATCAAGCCCATAAAACCAGCTGCAGCATTGCTATCTCACCTGGAATCAATGATACAGCTGTGACAGGAGCATCCATGCTCATAAAGCACTTACACCCAAAGACACAGACCGTCCAGTGCAGCACAAAGGCCACCTCCAGGACTGTGTGGAGCCCTGCCACAGCAGTACTACCAGGACTTATATGCACTTGCCAAGGACTGTGGGCCAACTCTACTGGCCTGCCACAGTGTGTGAAGGAACCTCTGCTGGGACCTTGGGGACTCACATGCACACACTGGGGAATGGTAGTTAGCTTCCCCATATTAACACCATCATCCACCTCAGCCCTGTCCCTGCCAGGCTACATAGCTTTGCACATGTGCTCATGAGAAAGTGCACAACCCCTAGGGATACAAGGCCTTGTACATGCTCACCAGAGACTGTGGATCGATCATGGTGGACAACTTATGCCTCCAGCAGAACTTCAGGGTCCATGAATATTCCACAAAGATGCAAGTTGGATGCCCAAGTCCCTGTTGACATGTACTACCATGCTCCCAACTCCAACAGGGCCTCAAGGACTATCACTTGATTGCCAAGAACTACAGGATGGCTCCTATACACTTGTGACCACTTGGCCCAGTAACTTAGAATAATCACTATAGAAAATAGTATGGAGGTTCCTCAAAAACTAAAATACAGCAACAAGATGATCCAAGAATTTCACTAATGGATATATATATAGAAAGGAAATGAATTCAGTGTGTGGAAGAGATACCTTCATTCTCTTGTTTATTGCAGCACTATCCACAATACTCAAAGTATGAAATCAACCTAAATGTCTGCCAACAAATAAATAAAGAAAATGTGGTATGTTATACAAGGAGACTTCAAATAGTTTATAGAAAAATTGAATTAAACTATGAGTTTATTTTTATACAAAACATTTAAATTCATGCATAGTTTTATCATAATATGAATTCCCATGAACTTTTCAAAACCCCCATAAAATAAAATAATATACCACCATAAAAATAATGAAATCTTACCATTTGCAGCAAAATAGATTAGTCTGGAATACATTATGTCTAGTGAAAGGAGTCAGGCAAAGAAAGTTGTGTGTGTGTGTGTGTGTGTGTGTGTGTGTATATATATATATATATTCTCACCCACATGTAGAAGCTACAAAAGTTGATTTCATGGGAAGAGAAAGAATAGTAGTTACTAGAGGCTGGGAAGGATAGTAGGGAGGAAGGAACAGGTTTGGATTGGCTGACAGACACAGATTATAGCTAGACAGGAGGAATAAATCCTATCATTTAGTAACACTGTAGGATGACTATATGAAATAACACTGTATTGTATCCTTCAAAATAGCTAGAAGATGGGCCAGAAAGTGGCACAGTAGTTAAGATACTGGACTCCAACATGGTTAACCATGGTTCAAGTCCTGGAAAATCACAGGAGGCACATGTGCATGCATGCCTAAAATCCCAGGAGGAGAAAGAAAGAGAAGGTACTATAGCTTGGCCATCGCCTCTGAGGCTTGATTCTTTTTTTTTTTTTTTTTTGGAAAGGTTTTTTTCCTACAGGGGGGGGGGGAAGACATAGAGACAGAAAGCAAGAAATCACCCTCACGCCGCAATCCCTTCTCCTCCATTCTCCTTTCTGGATCTTGGGCATGCACGCACATGTGCCTGGTGTGAGTTTTAAGCCACCGGGTCCAGGACACGAACTGCGGTCGACTACGTGGGAGTCCAGCAACATAGCCATTATGCTAACTGCTGGTTCCCTCTGGGGCTTGATTTTTCACTTTCCTTCTCACTGTCTCTCTGTCTCCTGCAAGCACATATGCCCTATGGCAAAATCTTTTTATAAAAGTAGCAAGGAGAGAGGAGGTCTTTGAATGTTCCTAACACAAAGAAATGTTTCAGATTATTGATATGCTAATTACCTTGATCAGTACACATTGTATACATGCATTTTAAAAACTCACATCATATCCCATAAATATGTCAATTCCAAATAATAATAATGATAAATAATAAGGGAAGTGCATAATGTGGGGGAATGGGGTATTAACAAGAGCTCTCTCATCTTCCACTCAATTTTTCTGTAAAATTAATACTGAACCAAAAGTTATAGTCTACTAGTTTTTAAAAATTAGACTTAAATGTCATAAAACGAATGTTTGTTAAATATAAGTAAAGCCTATATTACTATTTCTGGTATCAGAGACATGGATTAATAAGTGGATAATTTGGTTAAGAATGCTAAAGACCACAATTTTTGTCAACATGTCTAATAGCTCAGTTTAATGTCCTTTGAAATCCTTTCACATTGAAATGAAGAGATGAGATTTCCACATTCATTTCTCTACCAAATGCCAAAATCTCTGGGTAGCAGCTTGAGATAGAATAACCAGATCTATTTTCACAGCACCAGCAAACCATGAGACAGAAAATGAAACAGTAGATGAATCCAACCAATGAAGACAAGAAAAATCCTCAATGTCAGCTGTGATCTCAGCTCCAGGCCCAGCGTTAATGACCTACCATCATCATCCTCTCGTTTTCTACTTCATTGAGCAATTCGGCAAATTCCTTGAAGGATTCAGCTGGAAGAAGAGAATAAAAATTAAAGCAAATTAATCATGGTGCTTAACAGATAGGTAGACAGAGACCCATACAACGGAAGAAGAGACCAGTGCCCTAAGTGCACATGGCCACTAGAAGAAGGCATAAAATCTAAGGCTGGTAGGAGAATGCATTCAGCAACTTTCTGGTGTTTCTTTTCTCTCTTGTTTTTGCTAATCCCCCTACTCAAGAGTGCTTTCATAGTTAACATTTTATTTAATACTCACAGTCACTCTTAGAGTAGCTAGAACTTCTATTGTTTCATAGACAAGCAAACAGAGGCATGGCAATGAGTTTACTGTGTAAAGCATGGCAGCTCCAGAAACCCAAAATTTGCTTGGGTCCCTATTTCACTACTCACCATCCTAGACAAACTTCTCTCAATTTAGCATTTCTGTGCCTTAATTTCCTCACCTGTAAAATGAAAATAATTGTTCTTTTAAAGTAGTTTTGGAGCTAGTATGTAATAATGAGCTGCCAACAGGTTTTGTAGAATGTTAACTATCATTTTTTCTTGATCTTAGAAGCACTATGATAGAGAAAAAAAGCACATTAGACCTGCTAGCTGTGTGAGTTTAGGCAAGTTATTCAAACTCTCTAAGACCCATTTTTCTCACTAGAAACAATTCCTTTTTTTAAATTAATTTATTTTATATTGATTCACTGAACATCATCACAGCATACAAAATGCAATTTCCCATCCAGAATACACTGTATAGTGGCTTATTCAAACACATTATCATCAATATATAATTTTCCATTTCTTAAATATATATATATACACACATATCTATTTCCTTCCCTATTTCTCACCCTCTGCTCTTTCTCAACCTCCTCCCACACTGTCTCCGGTTTCTACAGTTGCTTTCTATTCCTTTTTTCCCCCTCACATTTTATTGATTCATAAAATATCTTAATCTAACTATTTTCAATAACAAGTTCAGCTGGTATACATACTCACTGAGTTTCTTGCCTAAAGTAAGACTTGTATTCACAGACATGTATATATAAAAAATAATTGCTATTCATAGGTTTGATGATTCTCAACTATGGCTACATATAAGAATCACAAGAGGAGCTTTAAAAATATATCAGTGATAAAACCCTCCCCAGATCAAGTAAATCCAGATTCATATGTGAAAGAAAAACAACTATTTTTCTATATTCACACACTTCTGACACCAAATATTTGTGGTTTTCCCTCACATTAAGCAATCCACCAACTGTCCAGAAATCAAATGGGTATTCTACAATTACAACACTAACTACTTGGAGTTAGGGCAGACCCACAAATAAAGACTCAATTCCACAAGACTGCTCCCCCAACCCGGGTTCAGACACTAGTCACTAATGATCTGTACTTCTGACCAACTGGCTATAAGTTGAGAGTTTACACAACCCTTTCCTTGGGTTCAATAATTTCCTAAAATTACTCAAAGAACTCAGAAATTTGCTTACTATCACCAATTTACAATAAAGGACGTAAATCAGGTATTGCCAAATGGAAGAGATGTATATAGCAAGGTGTATAGGAAGGGGTGCAGAGTTCCAATTCCTCTCTAGGTATGTCACCTCTCAGCACCTCCACATGTTCAACATTCTGAAAACTCTGCAAAGCTCATTGTTTAGAGTTTTCATGGAGTATTCATTTTGCAGGTATGATTGATAAAATTATTGAACACTGATCATTAGGTCATTTTTAAATCCCTCGTACTTTCTTGGATGTGGAATAATCTGCCTAAAAATTCCAAATCTCATTCTTTACCCTCTTTCCCCAACACAGGGGCATTGCTGGGAGACAACTACATCTGAGGTGCTCTGACCATTTCAGGGACCAGCGTGAGGGCTGAGCAGTCCTGAGCTGCAGCCTACCTCTTCCAACCTCACCTCCCTGGCCTGGAGCTAGAAAGGACAGGGGCATTGCTGGGAGACATCTTAATCTGAGGTGCTCTGACTATTTCAGGGACCACTGTGAGGGCTGAGCAGCCCCAAGCTGCAGCCCCCCTCTCCCAACCTCACCTGCCTGGCCCATAGCTAGAAAAGACAGGGGCACTACAGGGAGACATCTATATCTGAGGTGCTATAACCATTTTGTGTGTTGCACTTGTGCAGTGTGCACTTTTTTATATTTTGGTTTCTGTCGTTTGCCTTTTTGTTTCTTTTTTTCCTTGCTCTTTCTTTATTTTGTTTTCTTTTATTTTCTCCACTTTGTATTCTATTTTTCTTTTACCCTACTTTCCAATTTTGCTGCTCAGGTTTCCACCCAATGAGTGTATAGACAGTTCTAGGTGCATAATAGACAAACATCTGAATTTTGCTAGGCTCAGAGAAATCTTCACCCTCCCCCAGATACTCCTCTTTATAAATTTGAACTCAGAAACCCTCCTTCAGACACCACATTGCAAAACACAGCAGAAGAGAGAAATTGGCACGGAAGTGTCTCACACTAAAAGAAAACAAGCTAACAGTTGCAGAAACACCAACAAATTAGCCAAAAGTGAATATATCACCAAATGACTAAAAATCAGAGAAGAGATTCAACTATGAGAAAACCAAGTAATACATCTCTTAGAAGAGAACACAGTAACTTGCCTCCAAGTATAGAAAACACAGAAGAAATTACTAAAATGACAGAAAAGGAATTCAGAATATTTATGGCAACAAAACTGTATGACATGGAAGAGAAAATAGACATTGAGCTCTAAGAGATGAGGAAGTCCTTCCATGACTTGAAGAAGGAGATAGACAATATAAAGAAGAATCAAACAGAACTTCTAGAGTTAAAAACTGTAATGCAATGCACTGTACCATGCTGGGAAAAGCCATGTTGTACACTGTAAAGAGGTATAGTAATTTAATGTAAATTTAAAAATTTGAAAAAAAATTGTAATGCAGAAGATCAACAACTCCCCTGAAAGTATTAAAAGCAGATTAGATCATGCAGAAGATCGATTCTCAGATGTGGAATACAAAACTTCTGACCTAGAAAAAAATCACCAAAAAGAATGGAAAAAATAACCACCAAAATGAGAATAATATATGGGAAATACCAGATACCATTAAATGCCCAAACATCCAAATAGTTGGTATCCCAGAAGGTGAAGTATCTAATAAGGGCATTGATAATCTATTCCATGAAATAATGCAAGATAATCTTCCAAACCTAGAGAAGCATTAAAACATCCAGATTCAAGAAATACAAAGGACCCCAAATAGATTCAACAATTCAACTGAAGAAGAGCTTCTCCAAGACACATCATAGCTAGATTGGCCAAAATCACAGGTAAAGAAAAGATTCTAAAAATGGCAAGAAAGAAACACCAAGTTACTTACAAAGTTTACACCATTAGGCTAACATCAGACCTCTCAGTGGAAACAATGCAATCAAGGAAAGAATGGGAAGATATATTCAAAGTGTTAAGAAAAAAAAAATAAATTTCAAACAAGATTACTATATCTGGCAAGATTATCCTTCAAATAGGAAGGAAAGATAAAAATATTCTCAGATAACCAAAACCTGAAAGAATTTACCAACACCAGACCAGTCCTTCAAGAAATATTGAAGGGTGCAACTGAAAATTTTATGTTCCAACTTCACCCTCCATACTCCAAATTCTAGGCAGGACAGACCTATCTCAGGCCCTCTCAGTAGCCTACATTTCAGCTGTGAGCTGCCCCTTTGGTGTGGTGCATAAGTGCACCACATGGCTTTAATTTTTTGCCCTTTTTTTGGAGGTGGATTTTTGCTATAGGGCATGTGCGCTTACCAGAAAGAGAGACAGAAAGCGAGAAATCACCCCCACCCGGGGGATGGCTAAGCCACAATCCTTTTTCCTCCATTTTCCTCTAGGGATCTTGGGCATGTAGGCACACATGCCCAGCATGAGTTTAAGCCACCGAATCCAGGACTTGAACCACAGTCGACTACATGGGGGTCCAGTGAAATAGCCATTATGCCAACTGCTGGTCCAATAATTTTTTGCTTTAAAATGTTTTTTTATTATTTTCTTTTTTTATTGCTTATGCTTTTTTTTTTTCTTTTTTCCCTTTTGTTTTCTTTTCCTTTTAACTTTCTCACTTTGGTGTTCAGTCCTGACACTAAATGACTAGACAGGACTAGGTACACAGTAGCAAACCTCTGAATACTTTCAGCATCAGAGAAATCCTCGATTGCCACTGAACTTTGCATAAAGGGGAAAACTCCTCTTCATAAATCTGAACTTCTTTCTGTGGATACCACATTGCTAAACATAGTAGAGGGGAGAAATTGGCACAAAAGCACTTCATAGTAAACAGAAGCACATGAGCTTACAGTTGAAGAAATTTTCTCCAGCAAATTAGCCAAAAGTGAAAACACCACCTAGTGACTAAAATTCAGAGAAGACTGCATAGGAGCAGCAGAGAGAAGGACAGACCTAAAGAGAGAGCTCAGCTCATCTCCTACCACATGCCTCTGAACTCTTGGTGGAAACGCTGCAGCACAGCACAATTGCACCTGTTCTCTAGAAACGATGAGGCATTTGCAATATACATTTCCAATGACAAAAGCACAGGTTGTTTGATGAACATCACTAAGACAGAACTGCAAAGATATTGAGGATACCTCCTCCTTCATGTCTCTGATTTAATTCCAAGAAATTAGGACGAAATGCATAATCCATCAGATGATCAGAAACTACCTTGGAGGCATAAGAAATATGAAAAACCAAGAAAATATCTCTCTCCCAAGGGAAACAATAATGTCTCTTCATCCACAGATGGTACAATGGAACTTGTGTAAATGTCAGATAATCAATTCAGAATATCTACAGTGACAAATCTAACAGAGGTGCAAGAGAAGAGAGACAATGAACTCCAGAAGATGCAGGAAAAAAGAGTCAGTGAGTTCCAGGAGGTGAGGAAGTTCTTGCATGATTTGAAAGAAGTACACAGCATAAAAAAGAATCAAACGTAACTGTTAGAGATGAAGGCTGTAATACAG